TCCCTCCCTCCCTTCTTTCTTTCTTTCTTTTTCTCTTCCTCCCTCTCCCTCCCTCCCTCCCTCCCTCCCTCTCTTTCTTTTTCTCTCCCCATGTTGTTCTGAAAAATCCAACCACTTTCAAAGGGCAGAGGTGGACAAAATTATACAGCAAAGTAAACGTTCACAGAACAGGTAAAACATAAAAACAAGGGAGAAATCAATGCAATTCGGTCAGTTTGTCCATTGTAGGCGGTTGCCCAGTTGGTGCAGCTCCCAATTCTGATTTCCCCAAAGCAGCTCACCCTCAACCCCGCTTGCCTCCTCCACTATTTCTGACAACGCAAAGCAACAAGGCTGGTTTTCGCAAACCGTGTAGACGCACTGAACGACACTCTCCGACTTTTGCACTTTGTTCCTGTTCCCGCAGGACTGACCCGTTTGGAAGTAAGTGTTGTCAGCGCACGTACCTTTCATCTCCGCCTCCCCCTCTCCCATGTTCTTCTAAAGAGGGCACCGTGTGAAACAGTCTTGACACAAATAGAAGAGGGTTGTTTTGCAAAGTTTAGTGAGCTGGCTCAAGTCTTCGGGGACCGGCTGCACGCACGAATTCCAAACTGTCAAACAACATGGGGCACTGTGTGTGTTTTAAGCATCTGCTGCCATCTGCCCTGACATGGGAGAGCTTATGGATTTAGAGAGAGAGAAAAAAAACACCACTCTCTGCCTCTATTTGCTTCTCTCCTTCTCTTTTTAAAGCCGTTAACTAATCTCCGAATTGTAGGCATTAAATCTAGCTAGACCCGGGTGCAATAGAGACAAGCTACTCACCCTAAGCCAAAAGAAAAGCAGGCAAAGGGACTCACCTGGATGGCCACCTTCAGCACGGAGTCATCCACAATCTGGGTGCAGACCAGCGAGTCGGGATCTTGGGGTACCCGGTAGATCTCGCCCATGATTAAGATCATGGGGATGGCGAGCAGGAAGGAGGCGACCCAGATGCAACTGATGAATTTTTTGGTCCGGCTCCTGGACATGATGCTCTTGGCTTTGAACGGGTGACAGATGGCCATGTACCTCTCGACGCTCAGGCTGGCGATGTTGAGAGAGGTCGCGTAGGTGCAAGCATCCCTCAGGAAGTAGTATCCCTTGCAGACATCGTTGCCGAAAGCCCAGGGGTGATGGACCCAGATGAAGTTGTAGAGTTCGATGGGCATGCAGAGGAGGAAGATGAGCAGGTCGGAGAAGGCCAAGCTGGCCAGATGATAGTGGACGGTGCTTTGGAGATTCTGCAGGGACTTCTTCCTCACTAGGGTGTAAGCCGTGATGGAGTTGCCCACCGTCCCCAGCAGGAAGAGTACCAGGTAGATGACGGTCACCATAACCTTGGAGTAGATGTCCGTGTTCACATCCAGATCTTCCTCGTTGTGCGGGATGGACCCAGGTCCTGAACAGTTGGAGTGGTTCTCCGCCTCAGGCAGGACAGAGTTAGCGGAGGGCAGGTGAAACTCACTCATAAGGTAACTCAGCGGGTAGAAGGAAGAAGTTGTGTTGAGATGCATGGCTTGGCTCTCCAGTGCTGCACCCCAAGGAGAGATGCAGTGGTTGCTTCGAGGACCCAAGCTTGTTTTTTTTTCCCCCCAAGCAGGAGATGTGGGAGATGCAGCTGGCACCTTCCTTGCCTGGCAGAGTGAAGCAAAAAATAAATAAACTCCCACTATGCACCCGAAGAGGAAACTTGACTCGCTTCCATAGGAGGGAAAGGAGGAGCCTACAGACCAGCCTCTCCGTCTCTGTGCAAAGGGAGGGGAGGAAACAGGTTTAACCAGCCCTCGTGCAGAGACGAGGGCCAGAAAGCTGCCGGCAGCCGCTTCTCAGAGTGAATGCATCTTCACTCTGCAAAACAGCGGCTGTGTCTTTCCTTCGACCCTCCCTCTCTCCTTCCCCCTCCTTTTTTTGGTCTCTGTGCAAGCCACGGATTCCCATTCCCTCCAGATGGGAAATTGCAATAATGTGCTTGAACAGGTCATGCGCCTCCCTTGCTCCTAGGATGAGCAAAGGAGCATTCAGGAGGCTCGTCCGGTTTGCAAAAAAGAGGACACAGATAATTCTTCCCGAAAGATTTGTATTTATATTTGTATTGATTAGTTTGTCAAGCGTGTACAAGAGAGCAGGCATAAATATAAACATGGATGTGAACGAAAGAAATGAATGCAAATAAACGGGGATAGTAGGATAGGGACGGTAGGCACGCTGGTGCTCTTATGCATGCCCAATAGATGGTCCCTATTTACACCTATTTTTACATCCTACTGTTGAAAGAAATGTCTTTCTGGGTTCAGCTCCAAGTGGGGAAGAAGACACTGGAGACATGGAGGCTGCTTGGAAAGATGGTTTTATTGGTGGACAGGGCCACGTGGCTTGAGCCCTGTACA